TGCTGCGATGAGAAACGAAAATAAAATTTATGGGAAGAGGCATGCCTACAGACTCCCAGTATTTCTTGTTGCGAACAGGGTACATGGCAGAATGCGATCTAGCGTGAAGTGGGGGAAGAAAAAACTCATGATATGGTGAAGAACGAGAAAGAGGCGGTGATGGGCAGTGACCCAGGACAGCCAGCCTTTCGCCTTCTCTACAATTAGTTTGAAGACAGAAGTGGTTAGGCAAACCAAACAGGTGCCACAGAGGTATAATAATAATAATAATAATAATAATCATTTGGCGAGCGAATCCACCACGCAACGCCCGGGCGGAGTTGGCGGCGCTCTCGTGCGGGGGACGACGGGTTCGACATGCCGGGGCTGACCTTGCTGCACGCGGGAGATTGCCCGCCGCGAGGGCGATTGCGGCGGCAACGGCCGTCCACGCAACCTGGTTGTTTGATGCTGTAGTGGCGGTGGCGATAACAGCAATGGCAGTGGTGGCGCACAAATAGGTTCCTTTTGAGACAGTCGGACAGCATCTACCGCAATGATTCTGCCTTGCGTGCTGCGTCCCTCAGCATTGTCATCCCCGTCGTGGTACCAGTGGCGTACAACAGCAACAGTGGACACGTTGCTGTTGCTGTGTGGAGACACTTCTTCACCCGGCGGCAGAAACATCTGCTGTGGCAGATTTGCCGCAACGGGGGCAAGGATGCGTTGCACGCCACCCTGCTGTGGAACCTTCGGTGAGGGGGACGACGATGATGACGGTTCTATTGTAGCATCAGGCTCCCACCCACGCGAGGCGCGAGACTCATTGTAGCGGCGATTCACCTCCGCGTCGTAGCGCGCATAGTATGCTTCCGAGCATGGGTCTGTGGCATGCACGCCCACCTTCGCGGTGCCAGGAACACAATTCTCCTTCTCCAGAGGCGTCGCTACCGACGGTGAGTTTGCCCACCCACGCGAATCCAAGAGCGACATATTAGCGACATCACAGCTGGCGAGCCGCTGGCGCAGCTGGTCAACGTCAACGCGACGGCGCCCCCCTGTCCACACAGCAGCAGTACGGCTAGGGATTGATGAGGCAGTGGTGAGAGGGACCGTCGCTGACTGCTTTGGCCGCGGCGGTGGCGAGGACCGCGGCAGAACAGCGTCCGTCATTGCCACACCACCGGTGCTTCTGCGTACTGCTGAGACAGCGTCAGGCGTAGCATCACGCTTCACCTCCACTGCTGCTGCTTCGGCAGATTCAGACCCTGACCCTCGCGGGTTGCTCCAAGCATTCGCCGAGAAAGATGCCACACTAGACGCACTCTTCACTCGCCTCTGCTGTCTGTCGTCGCCGCCGCGTGTGCCAAAGCGGTCTGACACAACCATCTCAAGGGAATGCGGTTCGGATTTGATGCTAGGGGCACCACACATATGGGCCGCCGTATCACCTCCGCTTCTCCTGCTATTTGTAGCTGAATGCCGCCCGTGTGACGTGGGGAGGCTACTTCTTGGGTCTTGCTGTGAGACCACCAACGCATCGCCGCAAGGCAGAGTAGACTCCTCCAATTTTTCAAGCGGTGAGAGCAGGATAGCGGTTGTCGGCCGCCCGTTGGCAATGCCACGTAGACTCGCGTCGCCAACATCTTGAGAGGGAGACTTAAGACCTTCGGAGCGCCCGCGTGTACTGCGCACTGGAAGCAGCCACGGTGTCGGCTGCAGCGCGTCCCTGCACTGCGCCAACACATCATTCTCAATGTAGAAGTGGAGGGATCCGTTCAGGCGCAGCAGCAGTGCTGAGACGAACAC